ACCCGTGCTGTCGGCCGCCGAGGTTGGAGACGATGGCCCTTCTGCAACAAAGCGCCATTTTGGCCGGGGCGGGGTCGGAGGTGGAGCTGGGGGCGGGGTACAAGCGCCGGCCTCGGCCACCACGTTCAATGACCGTTCATTGTTGGCGGGCGGGGCAGGTGGAGGGCCGTCGGGGGGCAGATGGGGTGGGGGCGGTGGGGTGGTGGGGGAGGCGAAGAGCGCCATGTACGAGGCGTTCAAGCAGGTGAGGCGTGAATCGCAGTGTGGGGGTGGCCACTTGTCGGGAGAAAACAACTAACAGTTGTGGCATGTGACAGCGCCGCCGTGTCAGAAGAATTTTCCGCGTACAGGCTAATCGTGTCATAGTTCGTTCGACACAAACAAGTGCGTGTAGTGCAAGCGCCCACTTGCCGATAATCTGTTGAACAACTGAGAGAGTATAGTGGTTAGGGCTCACTGTAAGCCGCAGCGACTGTGTGGTCTCCTCTAAAGCAGCAGAAACTTCGAAGGGTTCACGGTATCCTTCCACCCGGATGCTGGCCTCCGGGCGCGTTGTTGACCTTTTCGAGAAGGGGGTGGGACGTCAGCTGAACGGCGAGCTCTTGGCCGCGAAGGCTTTGGCGAAGGCGCAGAAGGAAGGTGTCCGCGAACAAGCGGCGAGGGTCAACGCCCTCAAGAAGCAAATCGATCAACTCCAGGTCAGTACACGCAACATACATCGAAATATCGCACACTCTTTTGATCGCTTTGAGCTCGCAGTAGAGGCAAAATACCCCGGAAAAAGTGATGGCCCTCCTCGTGTCAGCGACAGCAGTGATACCGCTTCTGTTTTTGAAAACCGTGAACGAACGTCTCGGCAATGTCACCGCCACCGTGCTATCGTTTGGTCATTACAAATTATCCCGGGACACACGCCTGCCGGCGGGGTGCCAAACCCGTTCGTCATTCGTGCAGGCGACCGTGCGCGATAAAAGGCTGAAGCGGCCCTCCCTGCCTGACGTGAAGGGTACCGCCGATGACGTCATGGACGAAGACGAGTTCAAGTGAGAAAATCCAGGAAGGAGACAAGCAACAATCCAACATGCCTACCTACAAACAGAGAACACTACAGCCCATCTGATAGTCCAAGAAAGCCTCACTAGAAGGCAGTGTGAGCCACTGTGCCTACGACGTGTGCCTGTTCCTCTTGAACATCGTCATCCTCTTGTACATGTTCCGTCACCGTCCACCCTCTACCGTACGATATGTATTCCTACACGCACAACTGCTGGTGACGGTGCTGCTGTAGACTTGTGACCCAGGAACGGGAGGCAAAGCGGAACTATAAGGAGGCGTTTGAGGTACTGGCCAAGGCCAAGGCGAAGATGGAAGCGTCCGCTCAGCAGGAGGAGGAGCTCAGGAAGGACCTGATCGAGTCGTTCGACGGCTACTTGGAGGAAAAGGCGGGTGGTGGGATGTTGATGCTGTGGATGATCCTTCACGCACGTTGCTCCGCAGTCCAAAAGAAAAATTTCGGCTATACACGAGTGCAAGGAGCCCGCTGCCGTTGCTGTTGGCGATGGAGAATGATGATTGCTTAACCTTCTTTATCTGCGTAGAGATATCGTGGAAGAAATACTCCGCAGGAGAAAACCGGGGGGGGCTTAGGGAGAGGTCCCCTCTTCACCCGAGGAGCTGAAGGAGAGAAAACAAGTGGTATAAATTCTACGGTGCACGCTTCCGAGGTCTCACGACTAGGCGAAACATCGACCTGCATCGATGTCGCGGAACATGCAGATTCTGGTGAAGGGAGATTTCGAGTACGACGATTCCCTGGGGGCTTAGATAAACACTTTCTTGAAAGCTTGATGCACCATGTCTGTGCTATCGACATTAAACCTTGGGACGCTCCAGCCTTTCCGTATTGCATGGGTTCCTGCGGATATTTTCTGGTCCGCAATCGCAAATCTCAGGGAGGACAAGCCCCTGGTAACTAGAACGTATCATCATGTGCACCCCCACTTCCACGATCGGAAATTGAACGTCACTTTTGTTGACAGGCGGAGGGCGGCTTTGAGGAGGATGAGCTAGATATCGACAGCAGGGCGCCTCTGTCACCGGGTGGGGGCATTCGGTGGGATGAAAGAGGCTTCGAGGACACGGGATCGTCGGAACAAGCCGTGTTGACGCGGGTGCCGGACAAAGACCAGAATTCCCTCGCCTTCTTCCAGGTAGTGCCAACCGAAACAACAACCGACCCCCCCCTCCCGGTATTTACCATCGGGGTTGGGTTTTCGTCGCTTGGCAACGACGTTGTAAAACAAGCCGCCCCTCCCGGTGTTTGCCATCGGGATTGGGTTTTCGTCGCTTGGCAACGACGTTGTAAAACAAGCCGCCGCCCCCCGGTGTTTGCCATCGGGATTGGGTTTCGTCGCTTGGCAACGACGTTGTAAAACAAGCCAATTCACTTCGTGAACTCGGCAACCAGGTTACCGGTTTTTTTTTTACCTTCGTTTTTTTTTTTTGCGGTAACCATAATGGTGGTCGAGTAGATCATGTTGTGCGGGGTGGAGAACCCTCACTCCGCGCAAGGGGGATGATCGCACCACGTTGTGTTAAAATGGTCAAGCACCCTCGAGGCAGTTACACAGTGCTTACAACTGTCTCTGGAAGTGAAAGCACCAGAAAATAAATTAATTCATACGCAGCTGTCATCCGTACGCAAGGAAGTAAGCACAAGATGCCGAACACCCTTAGCAGGATGCAGCGCACCCTTCATGCGACTCGCCGAATATCTCACGGCGCTTCGCGCTTGGTGATGTGAGAGCCTGGTCCGGTGAGAACCCGGCGTGCTCCGTCCCGGCTTTGTAGGGATGCGAGGTCAATGGTCTAACGACTACGGCATGCACGACTATGAGTACACCCCCCCCCTCTAGTTGACTCGCACAACGTGTGTGTCCCACGAGAAGCAAAGCCTCGAACAACGTGTCAATATTGCTGTGTTCAGCGCTCTTCGCTCTTTCGTGCCGGGTTTGTCGGAAGTGGGAGGTGGCCCACCGGAGGTAGGGGATCAGTTACAATAAGTGCTGCAAATACTAGAGCCGGGAAAGATCTTATCCGTTCCAGTTTCTACCCGTGCAAACCCTTGCGGGTAGATGTGATGTGACCGTTTCTTTTGTGCCAGTTTACGACAAATGAACGTCGCAACATGTGATGCTTTTCAGAAAGAAGATCAATCAGTTCCGAGCCAAGGGAAACCCAGCAACCCGTTAATGACGGCGCGATTCCTTCCTGTCTCTTGGTTCTGGTGCCTGTTCGTCGTTGTCAACTCATGCTTGCAGGCCCAAAAAACGAGGAAAGCCACTCGAAACCAGAACACTCTCGCCCTGAAGCAGGTGCACAGGTCGAAGCGGAACCGATGATGATACAACTTGCGGTTCATTTTATTGGCTGTCGATCAAGCCAGACTTGGTTTGAGCTGAAGCGCGTATAAAAGATACACTGTCTTTGTAAACCCAAGGATTTCCGTGTAGTGGTCAAGTACTGACAAAGGGTGTTGTTTCACGCACAACTTTTCCGTGCATTGAAATACACGATGGAAAGGCGAAGTGTTGTAATAATTCGGCGTGTGCTACATTCTTCTTGTTCTTTCGGCTTCTTTTAGTCTTGCTTTCGTTTTGAATAAAGCGAATGGTGTGCGTGGCGAACAGCTACGGGTAGAGTTGGGGCTTGCTCGAAAGATTGATTTCGTAGACAGATTTGGCGTAGTCTTGATTGTTATAGTAGGAGAAGTGTGCTGCCGAAGTTCACGCCCAGCCGATCCCTTTTTATCTTCAATAGCAGGAGTAAGGTTACACATGGTGTGCTCGCTGCCGACCGCACATCCTACGTAACACGGCTGGATGCATCCGTGTGTATTTGTTGTTAGCATCGACCGCCCTAGCCGATCGATCAATGGAAATACGTGCAGTCTAGTGTTTCAGTGTGACATCGAATAGAAAACACTTGCACAACCCCCCATCATCTGGGATCGGTCCCGTGACAGGGGGTCACGGGGAGGCCAGTAAACTAAAACCTGGAATAAGAAGACAGGAACTGAGAAGGCTGAAGGCAAAACGTAAACGTGACTACCTTAGTCCCGAACTCCTACTCGTATGCTGTTGGATCCCTCCTTGTGTTATTGCTGCTGCTGTGGTTCCTCGTCCTCTTCTAGTTTGATGTACCTACTTCCATATCTACGTACTGCTGCTGTGTGTGTCATGCCGTACTTCATACATTCATTGCCTGGACGCATCAGCCAGGGTCACATGGATGGGTGACTGGTTAGGGACAAAATGATAGAAACACAACAACAGTGCCGGGTTTATTCGGTGACGACACAGAACCGTCCACCTGTACACAAGGACCCCGGAAGTGACTTCGAGTTCTCACAGTGATGTGGACCCAAACTCGCGACGGCTGGCTGTGCATGTGCCTTTTTTGGGCGAATAACGTGGCGTTATCTGCACTACTTGCTAGTCACTCGGGTTGCCTGTCGTCCCCTTCGCTGCTTTGTTGTATCAAGAACGAAGGTCTGCTCAGGCATTCACTAGAGGCCTTGCGTGTGTGATGTAAACACGTGGAGCTCGGTTAAAGGACACGTGATCTGCAGAAAGGTATCCATGCACCCATTGCAGAGCTTTTCTCGTTTTTCAATAGAAAGTTTAGCATCAACGAGCGACATAGACTAGATAAGTAGACTAGGTCGTCCAGGGCGAATTTCCTCGCAAAGGAAGGTGGTCGGGACCTTATTTTCCAAGAGTCCCCGTCAAAGACTGCCGTGGGTCAACGACGTTTTCGTATGTTTTTCCCACATCCGTTGCATCGACATCAGTTGCATCCGACATCCGTTGCATCGATCGGACATCAACCCGAAAAGCGTTTCGAACTTAGACAGACGCCTCCGCCTGTTCCTGTAAAGCCGCCCGAGGTATGGGTATATATCATTTGCGGAATCCCTCTTTCTTGGTCTCTTGGCGCACTTGGCGCTCGCTGTCCAGTCTGAGACTTAGCAGACCTTGCCTTGTTGTTCTCTACGGCGACAATCCTTGTTGTAACAAACCTATTCTGTGGAGCGCGCTCTCCAGCTTGAACCATGGGGCGCTACACGACGGTCCAAGCATGTGAGTACACGGAACGGCGGCGATGATTCCCGTCGTATTTCTTTCCATTTCACTTATTATAGCAGCTACGTTGCAATCACACACTGCACGTGTCGGTAGGGCAGGCGCCCCGCTCGTCAGCTCGGGTTTCAGTTGCCATAGTAGTGTATACGGCTTCAGACCGGGGGGTCTGGACTGGTTTGTCCGCTTTGTTTTCGCTGGGAGTCTTTCTATAGAAAACACACAGCGCCAGCAGTACAACAATACAGCAGTGTAGTGCATATCTCTCAGCAGACGAACACACCGAAGACACACGCATACTGTAGAAATATAGCAGCTGTGAGAAGCAACCGCCCGCCCCCAGCTGTCTGACTGGTTCGCTGGGCTGGGCCAGTATGGGTAGTTTAGTGCTCTCCAGGTATGAACACCCATCCCGCAGATCATCGCAGCAGCACCGGGTGACGCGATGTGTTCCCAATATCGGATGCACCGATAACACAAGGCAGTGGAAGACCCGCGGACCCCCCTAGGGTTGGGGTTAGGATTGGTTGTGTAGTACCCACACACAGGGTATCTTGGTAGACTCTGTTTCCAACTGCTGCCCCCCTCTAGGCCAAGTCCACAGGTATTGGCAGCAGTGCCAGAATATACTGCGTTCGATTTTATACATCCACCGTAAAAGTGCGTGTGATGGCACCCATCGATGATTTCGCACCCATCGGTGTTATGGCACCGGGGCGGGGCGTACTCTTATGTTTTGCATGCCTTAGCGGTTAGACCATTGACCGCGCGTCCTCGAGAGGACGGAGCATTGTTCTCACAGGACCGATCACCGATGGCCAATCGTTCCTTTCTACTTTGCCAAAGGTGGCTCAAAAATGTCTTCCCTAGTCTGTATCCTTACGATATCCCTTCCTCCGCCTTTTCAACCCACCTCCTATGCCCCAGTACAGCTACCGTCCTTTCCTCTCTATTCCATGCCTCAAACATCTCCCTGTACGTTCCATCTATTTTTCCCAGCTCAGTCACGTACACTTCCCTCTCCTTCTTGTACAACGGACATTCCGCGACTACATGAACACGGTCTTCGCATTCGAAGCCGCAATCACATTTGAACTCGTCGTCTTCCTCGTCTACCGTCCTATGTCTTCGTCGACGTTCTCGAAGGCCTATGTCCCCGGTCCTGAATTTGACCTTAAGCTTTGTTCCTGCATCCATTGGTCCATGTAGGTAATCCTTGAACCCTATTCCTTCCTTCAACATTTCCGTACACTTCGAGACCCTCCTTATCCTTGGACTCTTTCTTTAGANCAAAGGGATTGGATCCCCAGTTCTGCCCTGACGGCTGCATTACTTGTGCGCTTGGAGCATCCTAGGATGATTTTCGCTACTTTCATCTGCGCCGCCTCGAGTTCTTTCACTACCTGCTTATTTCCTTCCCATACTTCTCCGGCGTACTCTAGCGGCGGTACGATTACGCTCTTCAAAACCGTCAATTTGATGCGTGTATCGAGGTGCCGGTTTGCGAGTATTTGGTGCAGCTTCCCTGCTCGTGCTTTGCCCTTTTCCGCTACCTTGGACACGTGTGCATTCCACGAGCAATCTTTTGCGATCTCTACTCCGAGGTATGTGTACTGGTCCACTACTGCAATCTCCTCGCACCGGGGTGCGCAAAAATATCAAGAACGGCATGACTTAATTATATTTCCGCACCGGTATCGGTGTTATCGCACCCGGTGCGATATCAACGATATAATACTTGCTAGGACGAATTTTTGCGTGCTTCCGCAAGGTACCGGTACCCTCTGGGCCACGTGTCGAACAGTATGTAACGCGGTTGGCAGGTACCAATTGGGGCGCCAATCCATGGATGTATATCGTACCGTCGTGGTTTGCGCAATAGAACTGATTGTATCGATTTTTTTTGGGTAATTCGTACATCGAACGCACTCACTCAACCAAGCACAAAGCAGCACACATTCCGCACCTCCAACAACCGAACAAGAACAAGAACAAGAAGGAGTTCGTAAACGGCACTGCAATTGTACCGGTAACATGCCCCTTGAGGCAGACGAAGACAGAGGGAAGCACCAGCCAACAGAAGAGGGATTTTCGACCATCAAAGAGGCTTAGAGAAAAGTGATACCCCGCCGTATACGCACCTTCCTTCCCCAGCAGGGAACCACAGCGTCTGTTCCCTTTGGCGCACGCCACCCCAAACTAGGATTCGACCTCATCACTATCACCACTCCGGGCTGGTTGCATGGTACCGTCTACGCAAGCTCCTACTGCAAGAGTTACAGCACGCAAGACGAAGACATATAGTCTACGCCTGTTGGTTTCTTGAGCATCGCACCTATCGGTGTCATCGCACCGTGGTGCGCTCACTCAGCACCGCATCATGGCCACTGTGATTTCTTCCACATCGCACCCATCGGTGTCATGGCACCGGGGGTGCGTTCGAAATCTAGACTAGAACGAAATAATTTAATTGCATTTCCTCACCGGTATCGGTGTATTGGC